GCTTTCAGCAATATCAGTGAGTGCCGGTTTTGGTTCAGCCACCGCAGCCGCCGCCGTTGCTGCTGATCCAAGAGCTTCCGGTAATTTACTGGTGTATTCTGCAAAAACATGTAAAATATTAAGCTTTTTTCTGCTATTTTACAACGAGGCGAACGAGTTTTATAGTTCAAAAAATAGATTGTGATGAATTCACAGACAAACAGAAGACTGTCGATATTCNTGCTTTCAGCAATATCAGTGAGTGCCGGTTTTGGTTCAGCCACCGCAGCCACCGCAGCCGCCGCCGTTGCTGCTGATCCAAGAGCTTCCGGTAATTTACTGCTGTATTCTGCAAAAACATGTAAAATATTAAGCTTTTTTCTGCTATTTTACAACGAATCGAACGAGTTTCATAGTTCAAAAAATAGATTGTGATGAATTCACAGACAAACAGAAGACTGTCGATATTCCAAACTTGTTTGAAGACGAAATCATTTGACTAGGCAGAATATTAAGTTAATCTAGTTTGAATTTATGCCGTTGATAAAGTATGTATGTAAGCTCAGAAGCTTAAAATTCCTACGGCTTAGGCTGCACACATGTGAGCTTCTCTAGTGCTTTTGTGGTAATTAAAGCTGGCCATAGTTCCGTGGATTGTCAATACTACGCTACCAGAGTGACCAGGAAAGGAATTTTAGGAATAGCGGAATTAATTATAGATAGGAGTCCAGCACTTCTGAACTCAAAAATGGGCTAAAAAAAAGATCTAGCAGTGTTTTCTTTGAGCAAATTTTCAGTTTATACAGTTTTTGTTACTCCGCAAGTCCTAGACAAGAAAGTGCAAATGCGAGTTATGGAGGAAATTCGGCGAAAAAGTGGAAGGCTGGGCGGTTAGGAATTGCATTAACTTATCGGTGTTCATTTCCCAACAAATTCTGAACCGGTATGGATTCACTGGACTACCCTGTTTCTTATCAGCTGATTGCGAAACTTTATTTTGAGCAAACATCGCTTTTCCTAAAAACTTTATATGGATAATGTGCAGTTAGCGCTCTAAGGAAAATATTTTTATTAAAAGGCAACACCATGTACATAATGCGAAATGTCTAAGTGAGTAGCTCACGGGGCTGCCGTCTAACCTAGCCAAGTATGAACATTCACATCATAAAGGGAACTAATAGTTTCGAAANATCTAGTTTGAATTTATGCAGTTGATAAAGTATGTATGTAAGCTCAGAAGCTTAAAATTCCTACGGCTTAGGCTGCACACATGTGAGCTTCTCTAGTGCTTTTGTGGTAATTAAAGCTGGCCATAGTTCCGTGGATTGTCAATACTACGCTACCAGAGTGACCAGGAAAGGAATTTTAGGAATAGCGGAATTAATTATAGATAGGAGTCCAGCACTTCTGAACTCAAAAATGGGCTAAAAAAAAGATCTAGCAGTGTTTTCTTTGAGCAAATTTTCAGTTTACACAGTTTTTGTTACTCCGCAACATCGCTTTTCCTAAAAACTTTATATGGATAATGTGCAGTTAGCGCTCTAAGGAAAATATTTTTATTAAAAGGCAACACAATGGACATAATGCGAAATGTCTAAGTGAGCAGCTCACGGGGCTGCCGTCTAACCTAGCCAAGTATGAACTTTCACATCATAAAGAGAACTAATAAAAGCTTCGAAAATCGGCGTAACACTGTACTTTCTGCTAGCAAAATAGTGAAAAAAAACTCACTACTTGGCGGCGCATGATCGATGGTCGTCGTGGCCAAACTGGCCTTGTGTATCTCCATGCGGCTGTATTGCGCACCATCTACAACGCTGCCGGTCACATGCTGCTGCTGTTGCTGTTGGTGTTGCTGCATTTTGGACAATTGCATGGGCGCATGTGACGTCTGCGCTTGCTGTGTGTGTTGCAGTTGTTGTACCTGTAGTTGATGCAACGGATGATGTTGCAGCGATTCGTAGAGCACTGTGGGTTTCTTTATCAGCACCACATTGCCGGCTGTAGTGTTGGGCTCCACACAGGCGTTTGTATTAATGGACAGCGGTTGGAAGGGATCAAAACCCTTGGCCAGGTGAGAGACGAGTTTACGCTCGAAACTGGAATTGAATATGTAAGAAAAAATGTAAAATAAAACCGATTAATAGGAAAATTATCAAACAAAGCTCTACTTACACTTTGTTGGTGACACCAGTCTCTTGCAGCGTTTCCAAATAATCCAAATCCTTCGCGTATTTTTCACCCATGCCGTTGTTGTTATTCGCACTACTGGTGCCTGCACTACCGCTGCCTGAGGCTCGTCGCGCTGCAAGCGAATCTCCACTACCAGCACTACCAACAGGCGCAGCTCTAATACCACCACCACTCACACTTGCAGCCGCACTTGCTGCCACTCCGCCACGACTCATCGCACTCTCCACGCTAATATAATTGCCGCCACCACCGACATTCGTGACGTGGTTTTTGCCACTACCACTGCCGCATACACTGCCGTAGTAGTGATGCATTTCAACTGCGCTGACGACGTTGGCGGGCAGCAGCTCACGCGTACTGGACGCCGATGAGGACGTCGCCGATAGTGGTTGCTTAACGAGTGTACGCACCTGACCACGCGCCGATGCCGTTGGTGTCGCCGTCGTCGGCCCGCCGCCGCCTATGCTGCTCAGCACTGATGAACCGGCCGATGTGGATGTCGTCGACACCATAGACAATTGCGGGCTGCCCGACGGTGGTGTGTGCGGCGGGAAGAAATGTTGTTGGGCTGTGTGGCCCACAGCGGGAATGCTGTGCAATGTGGCGTGCGTGTGTGGCAGCGGTGATTTAAGGAATTCCTCTTTCTGTTTGATCGACTCACGTAGGCGTATCATCAATTCGCTGGTGTCAACAGCGCCGACACCCGAAGCGGGGGCATAGAAGGCTGAATTAGCTGCAGCTGCAGCAATAGCAGCCGATTGTGAGTGGTAGAGTTGGTGTTGTTGTTGCTGATGGTGTTGTTGTTGTTGTTGATGTCGCGATAATACTGTCAAATTGGGCGGCGGTTGGGAGCTGCAACAAAATGGAAGAGAAGGAGGGAAAAATATGATTAGAGCGTCTATGTCCGTTTCAAGCTTAGATGATAAGTAAATTTTAAATTTTAGTGTCCGGCGCAAAATGAGGTATTTTCGCCAGAATCGCCCTGCTAGTGTCTCTTTTTGTGACTTGAGATGATTCGGGTATTCAGAGTCACAAGAAATTCACCAAAAATGTGTGGTGAAAACAAACACTGACAGTCAACTGATAGCATGAATGTATGCCTTTTACTCCCACTGCTGTAATAGTCGCAATAGCCAAGTGGGCAAATCACTAGAGCGCCACTCGAGAGATCCTCCTCGGGTAGCAAGGTTTTTTTTTGGATTAATTTCTTTTTTTTTTAATAATCCTTAGATTTTAATTTTTTTTTTATTCCACAAATTTTTATATTATTTTGGTTTATTTCCTAATGAAATTGTTGTTGAACAAATATTTCCTCGCTTAATTTTCGCGGTTTTTAAAGCATTATCTTTTCCTCCATAATTTTCTTTTTTTGAGACTAAGAGGCCTAAAAAAGCTTACTGAATACCAGGGTTAGTAGTTTACTTAAGCCAGCCACTACTAAGTAAGCAGGAGTAAAACATCATAAAAAACAACACACTTCCGGCCAATGCGCGACGCCCCAAACTTAGCAATACACATATACACACACCTACTACAACATGGTGACTGACACATTCTGCAAAAACAACTCAAAACCGCATCCAACGGACCCATCATAACATCGGAATGTAGTAGAACTGAGTGCTGCTGGCAGAGCGGATGATTTTTTCGAATGGAAGTCGACACTTTTTATTCAATACGAAAACATTTCACACTTTAATTAAATGCACAGAACAATTTATTTAAAAAACAAATATTTATGTACACGCGCGAGTTTGTAAGGAAATTATTTATACATACTATGTAGGTATAAATAACTACAAAAGGGTGTGGTTGGTTTAAATATTTATGGCAGGCGGGCGAACGATGCAACTGAGTGTTAATTAACTATTCAAATTGCCGCTTGCTGCCACACTTGACTGTGAATGAGCTACATTGGCAAACACTTTAATATTTTTAAATATGAAAAATATTCTACATCTTCTGCCATCGACGATCCGACCATAGCAAAACACCGATCGATCAATACTCAATTGAGGCGCGTTCAATAATTTTGCAACAAGCACCACAAGCGATTGCCCAATAGTTCACTAACTACTCCACGTCCACCGTTTTTTAACCCAATTGACTAAGTAATGCGACTAGGCGACTAGTGAGAAAGTAGAAGCCGCCGCTGTCAATGAGCACTAGAAACTATATGTATATATATTGACAACGCGTCAACTTAATTTGACGCGTATTTAATATAGTGAAGCCTATTGAAGCTGATAGACGAAAATACGCAAATCAATGCGTTGAGTTGACCAGCAACGTGGCGCGACAAACCACAACTTGGCACATTCCTTTATTTTGGAACTACGCTGGCAAGCCACGTCAAAGCGGACTGACGAGCACGAGAATGCGACGGACACTGGCAGGCGCGGACACCCGCGTCACAACCTTCAGCGATCACAGTGAGCAACAGTACAGACAAACAAACATATGAAAAATACGCCAGAAATCTCAAAGTCAGAGTCAGCTCACAAGCTCAGAAGCTCAGTGGGCTCAAAAAGGCAACCACCACAGCTCGGCTCAATCGTCATCCACTCACTGACGTATGAATATTGCTATGCGCAGCCACACCGCTACCAACTGGAACCCCATTATGGAGGGCGTAGCGACGTTGATGACGACTATGGCAATCTGTTGAAATGGCGCAGCCGCACAGTCGACGTATTTCCTTAAAGAGCGCAAGTGCGCATCACCACCCACCTCCCCCATTTCCGACGCCCAAACCACACAAAATATTATTATGTATTGGAAAATAAATTGAATAGCGAAAAATCGAAAACAAAAATTAATAATTGGGTGGAAAAAATATGTAAATATGATTAATATAATTTCAATTTGCAATCGAATACAAAAGCGATGTACGGCCGCCATGCCACTTCACAAAGCTCGGTAAGTATATAGTACATATGTACATATGTATGTATGTATGTAGACAAAATACGCGCGCATAGCTCAGCGTTGTACTCCATACAAGCAAGTGCCTTGACTTATTTGTACAGTAGCCGCCAAGTGCGCTTAGAGCGGCCAGTCTGAAAAGGAACGGGCGCAGCTTTTTGCTAGCCATTGTTTTTTTTTTTTTTTGTTAAGTATGCTATAACTTTGTGGCGGAGAAAACACAATTTTGTATGTTTTCCCGCTTTCCATTGGTGGTAGGAGTAGGGGGAGCGAGGAGAGAGGATGTAGCTCACATAGTTATGAGTTAATCAGACATACAGAGGTAAAAAAAAATATCAACTAACATTGGTAGAAATTTATTGAATTGACCTTGAGTGGGTTAAGAACCAAAAGAGTTGTAAGGGAGGTAGATTTCATACATAACTACATTTTTTTTGTTACCCAAAAGTCTATAATAAACAGCTAGGTGCATTTAATTATTATAAAATCTGTGGAGGAATAGACCCTGCATAGATTCGCTCAGTTTATTTTTTTATGAAAACTGGACATCCGCCACAGAGTTGTTAATTCATTAAAGCATTAACAGAGAAAAGGTTCATATCAGCTCTGAGCTTAATAGATGTTGTCTGAAGATGAAGCCAACCATTGAGCCAGGTGAGTAGAGTCAAATTACAAGAGCAGCTTGATAAGTCATTAACCTTTTGAATTTCTCGCGTACCTAGAACTTTGAAATGAAACACGTCTTCTGTCAGTTAGCATCTGTCAAAAGACAACTGTCTAAAATTGAGCAAGTAGCGTGCGTTATTAAATTCCTGTTTGTTGAAAAAAAAAACAATTTTTTTGATTTCGAAATTCCAATAGTGCGGAAAAGTTGCGCAACATGATCACATCGAACCCTGTTAAGCCGTTTTCTGATCGCATAATATTTACGGTTGCCCCTAAAGCTTTAAAGTTTAAAAAATTCTCTCAAATAATGCATTTCTTATATTGTTTACTTAAAAACACTGTCAGACACGGAGTGTAATGATTATGATCTTTATAATAAAAAATCATACTTTAACCATTCAAGTTGGATTACCGTTTTTCTGTTCAAATTTAACCGTTATTTTATGATTTTTTTTTTTTTTTTTTAATTTTTGATTTTTATATATCATATTATCTATAACCGTTACTGTCTGATTAAATTCTTTAGATCATAAAAGATTTAAATCAGTCATAAAACCGCCGTCTCCATTAATACGGTCAAAAACGCTAAAAAAAATATAAGTCCAAAATAAAGATTATTTTTTATCGAAAAAAATAACCATCACAAAACAACGATAAAATTTGTGCGGAAAAATAAAAATCCAAATTGATTAATAATTGTCCTTGATCGAAAAATAACGATTTTGCAATGATCTCTAAAGATAATAATCTTCATATTTGGGGGTTATTTTCGATCCCTGCTCTCATCTGATTTTCAAAAAATTACTACAGCTGTGGATCGGATGACTTTTGGCATTTTCTTTTGTCATTGGCGACTTTCTTTCATTCTATTTAAAGTCAGTCGGCTAGCAAAACAACTAATACAACGAAACAAAAACACACCTAGGCGCCAATATGTAAAAAAAAATAAAGGCAGACAACCATTGTCAATTTCTTTCTTTTTTTCTAATTTCTTAATGCTTTAAATTATTAAATATTTTATTTGTGTATTTTTAATTGTTAATGTACTTAATTGCTTATATATACATCGTTGGGGAAGAAAATATTATATCTTAATGTACTAATTAGCATTGAATAAATTAAATTAAATTCATTTCGGCTGCTCATATTGCAGTGTTTTTTTTGCACATAAAAACATCACTAAAATGAAGGAAAGGTCTTATAAATATTATTATGAACCATCAAAATAATTTTAGGCGGTGTATAAACGCAATCGCAACGGCGAATTTTTTCGTCATTTCTTAATTGTGGACGAAACATAGATCCATCGAAATACACCATAGAGAGGCCAAGGAACATTCAAGGCAGTGGACTTCTCCAACTGAGCGTGCGCCAAAGAAGGCCAAGCTGGGTCTGTGGACCCACAAGGTCACGCCACAGTTTTTTGAGACGCACAAGGATTCAGTCACATCCATTACCTTGGAAAGAGTGAAGCTGTTGAACAGATTCGACATTGAATTCAAGCAAACTTCATATTGAAAAATTATTAAATTTGAAAAAAAAAGTCCGGGGTTTGGTTATCTACAGTCTTCTCTAGGATTGAGAAGTCCTGGACCACAATCATAAAGTCGCAATCATTTGGTTTATGATAGGCTTCAGTCTTTCACACACTATCAAAGAGAAGATTGGATAAAGTACACTGAGATTAAAAAGTAAGTACTTCTAGGGTGCTATGATTGGATATAATAACCAATATGTAGTATTCAAAAATGAATTCACTAACTTTAAAAGTTTAATCAAGTATTTACGAAACCGAAAGGGTTCTGGAAAGGTTTACGGGTATTTTCTTACCAAAACTTTCAAAAATAAATTATATTTATTAAAATATTAAATTTAAACTCCCGCTCTAAAGTCTTCAAATGGAAAAAAAACCAAAACAAATAACTTCAATGTGTTTGTACTTAAATACGAGTATTTATTTATGTATGTAATTGAATGCTTTTACGCCAATGTGACAAAATCCGCAACGCAATTGCTGCACGTTTGACACTCTCGGGGTATTTACTGTCAACACATCGCTATTAAATGCTGCCAACTGTCATTTTTCTTTTGGTTTATGGCGTACCCAAGTGGCTGTGCTGGCCTTTTACAACTTTAACTATGCCGATAGCGAAGGCCTATTAGCGCCTATTTGGTTTAGGTTAATTTATGTAACACAGGTACAATAATAAAAAACAAAATACTAGACCGACTGACTAGCTGTCAGGCAGTCAGTTAGTCAGTTAGCCAGTCAGTCTAGCAATGTGACAGACAAAGGCACAAAAGGGCCACAAAAACATACATAAAAGGCGTTCGTTGTTGTCAATAAATATTTTTATGGCAGTCAATCACCAGTCAGTCGCATCAGTTGTGCTCCACGTTCAGCTATTTTTACTCGCATGCATACGTTGACGTTTGTAGTACTAGTTGTTTATAGTTTCAGTTTCGGTTTCGGTTTCAGTTTCATTTTCAATTTTATTATCGTATGCTAGTGTTTATGCGCATTTTCGCATATTTTCATGCGTGACAACACGCATCCATTTCCCTACCTCCCTGCATCCTTCTGCTTTCCTTGCTACTTTGTTGTGGCTGTTGCGGAGCGTGTTTGCGCCGGCGCGTCAACAACTATTTCAGTGGGTTGACAGCAACGTGGCAGCTCATGGCGATGTTGATGGCGTGCCGATGCCGGTCGGCAATTCGTAATACGTGCAGATCTTTGATTTGTGGTGCCCTGCGGTGTTGTACAGTGGGCATTTTAGTTGAGGGGCCGCTCCGAAGGGGCATCCACAGCCATGCATTCAGTCATGCCCACATATCAGTTCAAGCGCCTTTTGTTTTTTGTGCGCTTTGTTGCTAATGCAGTGTTTTTGCTGTTTACGATTGTGATATTTATGATTTTGTTTGTTTCTTTTTTATTTTGGTTTGTTTTTATTAATTTTATTTGCAAATTTATTATATGTAACTTGTAATAAGCAAGTGTGACCTCAGCTATGTTTTGCTGTTGGGAAACAAACTAGGCGTTTCTTTGTGAAACTTGCACTTGTCTGGAATTTATGATTAAGTATTTTTATAATTTTTGTGGCGATATTATTATTGCATAATGTAATAATTATCGGTAGGAATTAGCTCCAGCAGCTGACATTTCATAGCGTTGTACGCTTCCATAAAATGTCTAAAAATGCATTTCGTTTGACGTTGACCATTTCGGATGCGACATATTTTAAGTTACGGTAGGGTAAACCCTTTTAACTTGGAAAAGAGCTTCAGTATTTGGCGATGATCAATAAGTCTGCCAATGACTATTCTATGCATGCCTACTCATCTGATATCTCCGGCCTTCATGCTTTGGCTTGCCTGCTCCGTTCCGAGTTCGTTCAGTAATTTTGAGCCTCAGGAGGCGCCATTTTTTCTAGAGATATTTTTACGAGGGTCGCTACTTAAGTTTTGAAATATTGTAACACTTATGTAAATATGTCAAATCTGACATTCTCAATACAATAACGGTCCTGGAGTTATATGTGACTCGTGCAGATACATAAGATGCAATGTTCCACTCGCAAAGCATACGAATTATTAGTCAAAATCTAAAACTAAGTTCAGACAGAAATTTAATTGAGTCAATTACCTTTTTAATTGAGCTACCGTTTTCACTCTTAATTTGAAAGTACATTCCATATAAGCACACCATTCTAGGTACATTTGGAAATCATCTCTTATTTTTATTGACATTTCTATGCATTTTCTAGTGTGGTAATTAATCCGATAACCTCACTCTTTTGT